ACATGTCCTTTGAAGTGCCACAGCCAACCAGGCTGCGTGAAGAATGAGCCGAGACGGACAGAGGATGCCAAATGGCATGCACCGCCATGTCAGTGCCCTAGCAATGAAAATTAATCTATCTATGAAACAACGACAGTGTTATGGGTAATACTGCATTACACGTCTGACCAGAATTTTCCCCTCGAGAATTGTGAGGATTATTAGACAGGGCACACGTGCATCTGGTGAGTGTACGAGACTGGCATGTTGAGAGGAAATAGCAGTAGGCACAGCGGTCTCCACAACACAACAGGACCCCTCTTTTCAATTTCCTGCTCCAGTTTCCATTCCTGCTTTATTTCGTGCAGGGGACCTGTGAAGTGGGAATCGCGAAGGAAGAATGCAACGTTTAGCCGATACAGCACCGCAGAGCACAAAACACGGAAATTGATTCTGTCAAAGGCAATATTTGCGATAATGATCTCAATAAAAACATAGGGTGATTTCAAACAGGGTTAGCAGGATTCCCTCAGGAGATTTTACTCCTAACGCAGCAGTGGTCTCTAACTGGCATTACAACAAGGGCTGTACACTTCAAACTTAATACCAGCCTGTTACCTGATGTGTAGTTTATTTCCTTATCCAAACTGGAAGCTTGTCTTCAGTAGTCTGACATCAGGCCTGAGTTGAGTAGTGTTGATGTGCATACTTTTTTACAGTTTGATTTAGCAGCCAAACTATCCACGTCTGGGTGGCAGATGTCTTTACATAACAAGATGATGGCGTCCTGTTTTCGTAGGCTGTATCTATGACTAGTGTACGTATTGTCAGTGAGGCCTGCTATCAGACTCACGGATATATCCACTGTTTTGTTTTGTTTGTTTTTTTCTCGCAAATTCAGAGTTTTGCAACATTTTAGTATAACTAGACTATAGCCTTTTAAAGACCCCTTAAAGGTGAAGTATGTTTAGGGGCATGTATTGGCAGAAGTGGAAGTAGAATGAGCTGTTTATATCTATTAAGGGAGCAGATCCTCGTCTACAGAGACCATCATCTTTTACCGCCTAGTTTCTACAGTAGCCCAAAACATGCAAACTCTGGCTCCAGGTGAGGCCATTTGCAGTTTCTCATTGGCCACTGTAGTAAGAAGCCCATCTGTGACAGATTTTTTTAATGTGAAACTGCATTAGTTGGAGCTTTTACCACTTTATATCATTGAGTGTCTGGATGTTAAGTTACCAGAGAGAAAAGGTGAGCACACATTTAGCAGGTGCTTGGATAGCGGCCTGTCTGTGACATGCCAGACCACGCAGGAGACTTGATTTGTGATTTGAAACCGCTTCATTTAGTGTTTTTACCAATTTTAATTACTGGTAATTACTGTCTGTTTATTTTGGATAGAGAGAGACCCATGTGGATAATTTGGCTCCCAGTTAAAACCTCCTGAACAATGACCACGACAGGAATTTTAGCTAGCTGCAATCTGCAATCCTCACAGCTAGATGCCCCTAAATCTTAACACGCTGTTTCTTTAAAGTGACTTTAATCCAAATTTTTTGATATCAGTGTATCAAATGACAATGTGAAAACAACGTGTAAGGGGTCAGTCATACTGATGAACCTACAGAGAATGATCACCTGAAACCTGCAGCTCTGTTTGGCTTTCCTGAGCTCTATAGTGAGATCAGCTCATCAGTAAACTGTCTGGCAGCTTAACTGTTTTGGTTCACTCTCACTGCTCTCATAGGGTTGTTTTCGGCAGCAGCAGGCAGATGTTTTTAGCTTAAAGGCTCTAAAACCCCACTGTACACTGCCTGCTCAGCACCAAACAGTAGATAGATGCAGTTGGAAACTGAACTGGTGAACATAGTGTTGCATTTAGCAGATAAAGAGTCAGGCTTTTCCCTCAGGAGTTGGTACAGACCAAAACAGAGTTAAAAGATAGTTAATATTGGCCTTACATTCATCGGGTGGACAGTAACATGACTCCAAATGAGTTATAATGTATCTATAAGCAACTGTTTCCTAAAATCTTTGCCATATCACAACAAAATAATCACTTCTTGCATGTTAAAATACACAGTATTTGCAGTAAGCTGGTAATGGCCATTACATTGGGCCAGCCAACTTATCGACCTTGCTTAAAAAAAGACACAACACAAGTCAGCACCTTCTTTACTAGGGCAGTGTGTTCATGTGAGTGTGTGTGCAGGAGACAGAGAAAGAGAGAGAGCATGTGCTTCACTAATTAGACTCATAAAAATAACACACAGCAACATGTTCACCAACCTGGATTTCCACATCTGAGGTTGCTACGGGAAGCAGACACAACAACACCCAACAACCGTTTATAACTAATTCTTTGCAGATGTTTTGACTTTTTGTCACAACTGAAATTTTCCAATGCAATGTAATAATTGGAGTCACGGTTAGTGACACCTGGGTAGGACGCAGTAAACTGAGCGTATTAAGATTTGTTTATGTTTTTATGTCATAGAACTGAAGGTATAGATGATTGACAGAGCTTTTTGTGACATGGGCAGTAGTTGAAAGTTTCTGATTATTTTTCTTTTCCTGTATTTTACTAAAATTGTACATTTACAGAATGACAGCTGGTAGAGGCTTAGGATCTGTGTTGGAGGAGGTGTTGGCTCCAACAGCCTTGGCTCAGCTGGAAACATTCTTAAAGTATCACATTGCTATTATTGGAATGAAAATATTCCCCCTCCATTTTGGTAGGCTCCAATTCCAAGCGTCCCATCCCACACGATTCTTTAACAATAATGTTTTCCTGGTCTAGTATTTCAACTAGGAAGATCTCAGCCTCTTTCCTGGAAAGAGAGACAGAGTGGAAAACACTCCCTCTTTACTCAAAAAAAACCCCTTCACATTTGCAAAGTGTAATTTGTCAGACTGTATTAAAATATCGGAAAAAAACCCTCAAAATTGAAATGTTAAATGTAAGTACCCATGGCACACACAGCCAGAATGTATAGCAAAAACACTTAAAAACAAAGTTCTTTGAAAAACTCTCGACGACAGTAACTGTTTCATCTTGTGCTCATATAACGCAGAGGGCCTACCAGGGAGCAAAGATGGCATGCAGCAGTTTGCAATCACCATCACTCTGCCTCCATGACACAAAGGGGAGACTTCCACCCAGCAAGCATTTGATTAAAACAACAGCAGAACATCAAGTCACATCTTGGTGCCATTGCCACGCGCGGCATGGAGAGGCTGTGCAGAGCAGCAGATGTGTAGGATATTGCTTATGTTTGTTTGCCTGTGCATATGAGGCTGTCACGGACACAGATGAAGGACAAGTGTCTCATTTAAGATGTAATTTAAATGTGTAAATAAATTGTTGTCAGTAAGAGGCTATGAGTGCTACTGTGGTTTATCTGATCCTGAGCATACAACTATACTCTGATGCCAATCATTCACATAAACACAAAATCCACAACAGCATTTTTCCTTCACATATCATAAATACATTTAATTAAATATTGTTAGAGCATATTTATACACTATAAAAAGTGTATATAGTGTTAAACCTGAGTCTTTTGTCTGATTTATTTGAGCAGATTGAGAACATATGAGCTACTTGCTTTGGCCCTGGAAGTTGTGTTCTACGAAGTGGTTGATTGTGAACTTGAATAATGAAAACGTTGCATAATTATCTGTAAAAATATGATGATCTTTACTGAAAACACCAAATCACCAGAATACATGTTGGCATTGTAGCCTACGTTTCTGCAAACCACGGTTATGTTACAGTTACAGTTGTTGTTGGTACATTGAAACCTTACATTTCAACACTATGGTTAATGTGAGATGAGGTTTTGGCAGGGAAAAGATCATGTTTTGGTCAGGGTTAGGGGTTAATCCCAGCAGGAAAAGCAGCGATGTCACAGGAAAAAAAACAACCCCTTTTCGTGTCACTATCTCAACTGTAAAAAAAACAGCAACAGGTCGCAAGTCAGCTCATGTAGTCCTCACTTTAGAAATGTTGATATGATGCGCATGCAACGTGCAAATGTGCAGTTTTGCAGAAATGTACAATGCCAACATTTTCTGGCATCTGGGCTATAAAAATTTGCCATTTATGTCTTCCTTTGTAGTTGTGCATTTCAAAATTCAGTGTAGATGATTGTGTTGCACCACATTTTGTAACAGTATAGCCTGTATTGTCAGACTAGTGATATGAGTGTATTGTCATGTATTAATGTACAAACACACACAGACACTCATATGCAAACTGTTATGTAATGTTGCTGCTGACACTGGAGTTTAATGATTGAATTACTGGGTTGAAGTTGATTCTCTGCATGCAGTCTGTCATGTTTTATTTACTGCACATACTCTGTGCAGTTATTCCAATTTATCATAACAGTTGCACTTCCTGAGCCTTAACAGCATCATATACAAGTGTGTGTACGCCACAGATCAGCAGGCACTGATACCGTACATGTGCAAGTCATCAAACTTTTATGCAACTTAATCAGCTTGGCCTAAAAACATTTCATGAAACTATGAGCGAATGTGTTTTCCTCCAGTCTGACTCATACCCCATCCTGACAGACTCTGGGGTTTCAGATATTGAACAGACCCCTCGTTGATCGGAGCTGTTGAGGCGCAAGCAGGGGAGAGCATGCAGAACAGACACCCACCGTGCGTTAATGCGTACAGCGTGTTGAGAAGATGGGTCGCCCTGCAGACCAGCCGAAGGTATCCTAGCAGGAGTGCAGAGAAGATGCGTATTTGCCCTGCGAGCCTCTTGTCAGGGAAGAGCTGTTTGTTTGGATCATGTTATTGAGTGGGAGAAACATGCAGGGACATGTCTGACTGACTCCTCCAGGCTGTGATGGTTTTCTAGCCAGAGGTCTTTGGTGGAACAGTGGCAACCAAAATTGCACAGGTGAGATTATGTTCTCAGAATTGATGATTCAAATCCAATGATCACATAGGGTAGTAGTGGGGAAAGTTTAGGCAAAAGAAAATTTAGATGTACTTGCAAGGTATTAAATGGATAAATGAAGTTTTTTATTAGTCCCGTTGGGAAATTCTGTAAGCATTGCATCAGCATGAGGCAGGTTAGAGTGTCAGAGCTCAGCAAACCCTCCAATTAAATACATCTTTACCAGGATCTTAGACACAGCTTTGATCAAAGTGGTAGTATAACAGCAAAATGTATACATGAAAAATAAATGAGTATAAACCCTGCTATATAGCGTGGTCTCTATCTTCTTGATTTACCAACTTCAGTCCATACCCTTCTTTTGCTTTAGCATCAGTGAAATATTCATATTCCGCAAAAGTAAAACTGTGGTGGCAGCAGCAGCATCACGTCCAATGTTCACATAGAAAATGATTCACTGGCGCCCTCCAGAGGTCATTTATTGATAGTGACACAGGAATCAGAAAACCTCACAAGTGAAGTCTTTATTAATATCAAATAAATATTGAAAACACTCAAGAAGCAATGATCACAGAAGTAAAGGTACATTTTACCAATTAAATTAGGGTTCACAGTCTTTAAAATGTTTGATTTCACCTTCCAAAAATCCTAATTTCTTTGCACTTTTTTAAAAATATATTATAATTGTATGCCATTATTTTCAAGTGCCTCAATAAGAAACTGAATCTGTCATTTTGGGGGAAAAAAGTCTTCATAAATCTTGGGTCTTTCTCTTTTTTCTGCACCTTTGGGAAGTCTTCACATACAGACAAATTGCCCTAAAACTTTAAACAACACAGTTGTTCTATATAATTGTAAGGTTGTAAAAAGGCCCAGAAAAGCTACCAAAAAATGGGACTAGTTATGGAGACATCCCTTCTTTCCTAAACTTTCCTCACATTCTCTCCATCTTTAAGGATGCCACCGCTGCTTTCTTTAACTTCCTCTTTGTTTTCAAGAGCCCATATACAACAAAGATGACACCAAGTACAGTTATGAGAAGGAAAACAAAAATTACATAAAGTGCAACTTCAGCATCTTGAGTTGAAAGCTCCAGACCCAGGAAGTCTACCATGTTCAGGGGCTGAACAGGGACAGTTGTATGGACAGTGGTCCCTGGTGTGCTGATAGTAGGGACAGTTGAAGCTGTTGAAAGAGAGGGAAAAGAAATAACAGTCTTTATCTTATATTTAGTGTTTAGACCAGATCTACCGTCTGTTTTAAAGGGAAAGTTAATGCCTAAATCAAAAATATATTTTTCCTCTTACCTGTAGTGCAAATTATTAATCTAGATAGTTTGACCGTATTACTGCTTAGGAGGAAGTGTGCATCTACTGCTAGCTCACCTAGCACCACTGAGCTAGCTAAAATTACAACTCAGCCGAGGAGGACGGCATTTATGTTTACATCTAGCACTGTCACAAACACAAACCTCTCGTCAATGAGTAGATGCCTGCTCCCGGTTGGTGGGTGAAGTTTGGAAGACAAAATAGTCCCTACATAAAAAAAATGCTCACAACAAGGTCTGTGGATTATCTTGAGTACCAGGGTCATGATTTCTGGAGAGAGACATTGTTGTTGAGTTTTTCAAATGTAGTCTTTGGGGCTCTGAGCACCACAAGCCGAGTGCCATCTAGTTCCGTTATATTGGAGAGAAGGCTGA